GAGCAGGTCACTTGCTGCAGCAAACGGGGATAGAGATAATATTCACTTTCTCTTTGAGATTATTCCTCATATAATAAGAGTGGCAAGTTACTTGCCAGTTAGAAAGAGTGGCAAGTTACTGGACAGGAATAATGGTCCCTCTCTTCCAAAGCACCAGCATCACAGCAAGGTCAGCCACTGTTGAAGCTGAGTTCAAAAACATAAAACATGGCCTTTTCAGACATGAAAACTTGCCTGTTCGAGTCGATCGCTTAATTGCTCGTCATCTTTCCTTCATCAAGGGAAATATGCGGATTTGTTCTGCAAAAGAAAAGACCAAAGATGAGGCAACAGTGGGATCACTGGAAGTCACAGATGCCAATTCTGGATCCATGACAACTCACAGTGCAGAAGACAAAATAAAAAATGGATGCTCACCTGTTTGTGGGATCTGATGCTGCCACAAACATTCCTCCAGCTGATGAAGATGCAGCTGAGAACTGGAGGGGCCTAGCTGTTCCACCCAAAAAAAGGAAGAGGACTTCCTACCTCTCTCCATGTACCGAATGGCTCCATGCAGATGAATCTTTTTGGGCCAAAAGAGTGAAGGTGGGATTATTAAAAAATGGAAACCTTCATCAGCCTATTAGATTAGAGGAATCAACAATCTCTGTGCTCAGTACCTGTGCATTTGATGCATTTTTTTCAGTGCTTATGTTGTGCCTTCTGTGACAGCTCCACATTTTAAAATGCTGTTCTGAAAGACAGTGAAAACCCAGTCTTGCATCTGGTGAAAGCCATTGCCACAGATGGTGTGACCCATCAAACATACAGGAGGGCAGAGCTGCTTAGTGCAATGTTCGAAGCTGACCAGTTGAGGTCTGGTGCGATCCAAATCGATGCTCAGTGCAATATCTCCGCTGTAATTGCTAAGACAGTGAGGAACATATTAAGTGTTTATTTTACAAAACGCTGCTCTTCACAGCACTGCTACCTCAGCAAAGGAATGACAAGGGAAGTGCCATTTGTTTCTCCTGCCATCTCTGTCCTCATAGAGTCTGCTATAGTTCATCTTGGCACTGCTGTGGAAGCAGGAGCGTGGCCTACCTGAGTCTACCTGCCTCAGGCCACTCTCCAATCCATCTCTGTGTCCATCAGAATTCAAAACAGAAGACAGCACCACAGCAAATGAGCTCTGTGCAGGGACAGTTACTCACAGTTATACTGTTATACACAGTATAATGAGTGTTGCCTGCATTTTTCTGTTTTATTTGGTTCATTACAGTTGCATGTGTTCAATATGGCTAGTGTGTGTTATCTGTAAGTTCAGTTTTGCATATAAAGTTAAAGTTCAAAAGTAAAAATCTTTTAACGCTCTTTTCTTTGTCAGTCTGATGTATATTTGCTTTTACACACCCATTCATCTTCACCTGTAGCCTCTTGAAAGTAACCGTTCCATTTTTCTGTCAATAATTTTTCTGTATTTGTTTTGTGTTGACCTCATGGCTTAGGTCAGGGGTCAGCATTCTTTTCAGTTCAGTTTTTTTCCCTGCTGCTACAAAACATGTCTAGAGCCTAAAAAAAAGAAAGCGCTTATAAATATCTAGAAAATTAGTTGTTGTATCGTGAAAGCTAGGGCTGTGCAATATGACCAAAATCTCATCGTTCCGATAACGTTTTAACCGATGCATGAAACGATAAATTTTTAGACATAAGTTGTTTTCTTTGTGAGTATTTATTACACGGCGTGCTGCAGGGAAAAGCCTGTTCTAACGTTTGAGTCTAAGGTTTATTTTTTAGCATCTGGCGGCTCTTTTTTACTTCTCATCCGTAAATAATCTGCTCTTTCACGTCATTCAGTTTATTTTGAAAAGTCTCAACAGGATCTTGAGCTTTATTGTGAAAGGTTTATGTGGAATATAAACAAGCGGACATGCGATGGTTTTACCGTCGTTGTTGCTAACAACAACGCATAAAAACAGGCGCTTGTCCGTCCGTAGTGTGGTTATATTAAATATAAGAGAAAGAGAGAACTTTAAGAAATTAATATAGCCACTACAGTGACCATCAAAACGATGAAAAAATATTGCCGTAAAGAGTTTATTTTGCGACACCACGAAACAAACGATAGCGTAAAATGAAACGATAGACGTTTTTATATCGTCATCCGATATATGTGGTTATATCGAACAGCCCTAGTGAAAGCTATGGAAATGTAAATGAAAATGTTTATCTTTAGATTTTAGAAGAAAATGAGTCATCTAACCTTTACAACGGGAAAAGTATTTGTTAAAATGAAGCCAGCTAAGTGAGTCCTTTCCATAAAAATTGAAAATTAGGAAAGATGGGAAACCAACCTGAGATTTACAGTAAATAGTTTTGAAGCTAAGAAACATTAAATCACTTTTAAAAGCCTTGTACATTCTGTGAATAGTCAATGCAGATATTTCATAAAAAACAAACTGCTAACAGAACCCTTTCTTGTTGTCTTTATAATAAAACAGAACTTACTTGGTCTTAGTGGAGGGGCCAGAGAGCCACATGTGGCTTTAGAGCCGCAGGTTGAAGATCCCTGGCCGAGGTGCTGTGGAATATTCAATTTTCTACATGTAGGTGACAACCTATGAAACCAAGCACTTAATTTTTTCTGAGACAGCTACAATAATAATAATGAACATATATAATTCAAAATGGAATCATAGAGACAAACTGGGTACGTGAAAAAATAATAATTTAGGTATACATGAATCACTTCACATGTAACTCACAGTTTTCCACAGAAAAAAATAAAAACTTTAGCCTACCATGTGTACGTTTCTGCACTGGTAACAAAAGAAATGTCAACCTTTCCACTGACTAAATTGGTTTACTAAAAAAAATAATAATAAAACTTAATATGCAGCAGGCCTAAAAGAAGTGGACAGTCTTCTATAAAAGTGGTCCACTCCACAGCTGCTGAAACTCGCTGCCACAGACACTGTTGTTAAACAGCATAGGCTGTAAGAATTAAAATCGTTATATCTCAGAAACCGTAGCAGCACAAACACTAATTTTACCTGCACAAATCTACACAAACGTAGCACTAACCACTCCGCCTATTTGCCTTTATGTTTCAAGTGGGTGGGGGGGGGTCAGCTTCACTCTGCTCACTTTCTGGCCGACGATCACTTTTTGACACAACACCTGGAGCTAAGGGGGCAAAACAATCGCATGAGTGCTGCTGTTTGACTGAGGAACAATAAAGTAGTCGTGGTAAGCCAAGATGATACTTCATGATAAACAATATATACGCTGTGTTTTTTCCTGAATAGTTTCGTCACGTTTACTGTCTAAGGACAGCGCTAGCAAGCACTCTCTGCTTATGACCAAAAAATAAAAAAAACTAAACAGAAACAGCCCATTGGTGTTGGTGGAAAAATTCACCATGTCGACCAATCAAAAATGATATGGTAATATTACATTTGGTTGTTTAGGAAGAGGGGGAAGTTTAGGAGTGACCGCGAGAGAGAGAGAGAGAGAGAGTTTTGAAATGTGAGAGATTTGTGACGTTTAGCGTGTTTGGAGTGTGTAGTTAATGTGTTGTCTTGTGTAGTTAGTGTGTAGTGTTGTGGATAGTTTTGTGTTGTGTGTCAGAACAATGAGGTGACTGCTGAATGAAAACAGGATGAGTGATACACCTGCTGCTGTCAGACCTGCAGGTATCAGGCTGTGATGTTCTCCTTTATAGTGGACAGGAATATTTGGAGTGGCACAAATAATTTGTGTGGCATCTTATTGAATGCAGAACAGCTGATTGTTATGTAAATAGTTTGAAATGGTTATTTAAAAAAATCAAGGTAAAAGGTAAATGGCTGCAAATAACTTTGTTTGCAAAACCTGTGCATAGGATTTTAAAATTGACAATTTATATTTACATTTAAAGTTATGAAATATGATTCATTAAACATGTTTGTGGTTGTTACAGTAAAAAATATAACTTTTTCTTCTCGGATTTTATGTTTTTTGTCTGATTTTAGATCAATTGTGTTAATACAGTATGTCAAAATGAAAACATAACTGCAAATTCAGACACGTGAGGTTGTGCTGAAAAGAATGTTACCAAACAAGGCAAAGTAAATAGTTTTTATTGTGAAATGTAGAGGAAACATCAAAAGTAGTTAAAAATGGCCAATTAAACTAAAGTAACAAAATAGTTTCTTTTCAAGTAATTAATTACTTTTAGAATCTTGTAACTCAGTTACTAACTCAGTTACTTTTTTTGAAGAAGTAACTAGTAACTATAATTAATTACTTTTTAAACGTAACTTGCCCAACACTGGTTTTAGAAAATGCTTCTGAAATTTGATTTTGGTCATTTTGCCATTTTGCCCAATCATGTGTCAGCTAAAGGTCTACATCAGCAAAAGACCAGCTGATCTCCAAGAAGCATAAAGTTAAAGATGAAACACTAAGAAGCAGCAAGCATGGGCGAACAATAGAAGTGATTTTTTGCAATAGAAATATTTAGTTTAAAACTTTAGTGTAAAACCATATTTTTTTTTATCATCATAGTAATATGAAGGAAATGCCCCAATGTTTTGCTAATATATTGTAAAACTACACGCAGTATAATCCAGCTATGTCAGCATCTTTTGTCTAATACTGAAAAGTATTTTTGTTCTCTTAATGTTGTGATTTTTTTCACTTTTGTTCTCATTTTCTTTTAAATAAAGGAACGAAAGTTTTATAATATTTATCTGTATTATATGTCTTGATAAAATATTGCATTTACTAATTTCTATATTTTATGTTTTAATTAAGCATTGTGAATGACATATAGAATCTGAGTCTTTAAAGTTAACATATTTCCATGTTTCCAAACTCAGAGCTATACCTGTTCAGAACATACTACATTAAAGTACTAAGATTTAACAACTTCCAATATAGTTGAACCTACACTTCAGACTAGACCTGAGACCAAATGATTGGATAAATGGTTAGACGAACCCTGTAGGAAAATTCTTTGTCCAACTTCGTTCCAGGTTTTACAAATTATATGCGCAGCCCAGCAGGGGACATCTTCAACCCAGATCACTACAGCGTGAACCAGGACATGACCCAGCCCCTGTGCAACTACTTCATTGCCTCATCACACAACACTTACCTGATGGGTGATCAGTTAATGTCACAGTCCAGGGTGGATATGTATGCCTGGGTGCTGCAGTCTGGCTGTCGCTGTGTGGAAGGTTAGCATGGACTCATACATACACTCACAGTACACAGGTACAACTTAAATAGTGTCATACTCTTAAAGGCAGGCAGTGGTCCCAATTTTTGCATTGCCTTGTTTGTTTAATTCAACAGTTTACAGAATCTGACTCAGACAACACTGTAACACCAATAATGTAACAAGCTGTGTTCTTAATTTAGCCTGAGTATTGCACTGTCTTGACCTTTACAGCTGGGGCATTGTGTTGACACACCCCTCAAAGCTCCAGACCAGCAAACTACCAAAACTAATGCTTTTATTGGAGTGGTTACACTTGCTGTGTATTACGTGTCAGAGACTTTGGGTTTTTGTAGTTTTTTTTTGTTTTTTTTTTAGTTAGTCATTAGTCATCTGGGTCAGCTCTGTTAATAAAAGGTTACTGATACAGTCTTCTTAGTTATATAAGATTATATAAGTGTGTAGTGTAAACTCACATTCAGGGTGCTGTGTGTGAACTTGCCTGCAGGCTTCACTTATCTTAGTTTTGTCATATAAACGAATAAATGGTAATTGGGGAACACGTTGTCTTTTAAACTCTATCCCATCATTGTCTTGCTTTTGTAAGTTTTGCACATTTCAGTGCCAGCTTTGTCTCTTCTTTGCTGTCCACAGTTGATTGTTGGGACGGTCAGGACGGTGAGCCCATTGTCCATCATGGCTACACCCTAACCTCCAAGATCCTCTTCAGAGATGTCATTGAGACAATCAACAAGTACGCCTTTGTCAAGAATGAGTATGTTTGCTCTCATTCATGCTTCCATAGTTATCCTTTTTAACTGACTTGCACTGACGACTGGGTTGTGCCAGTGAAAAAATTGCCAAATCTTCTCTGCTAATGCCAAACACCTTCTGCTGCTATTGACTCTTGTTTTGAGAGTCTGGTACCTCAGGTTCTGATTATCTGGAGACTGTTTGGTACCTTATTAGCAGCACCTGTTAGCATGGACCCTGCTAAAGCAGTCAGATGGTGCATGTCATGTTCAATTGATCTGGATAGGGCCTGTGCTATACAGCAACTTCAAACTGGTGTTCTGCAAAACCAACTTGCAACATGATGTGGAGCGACCCCTATTACCATCTCCACATTGAAGGCTAAGTTCCATACAATGATGGATTTCAAAGACAGACCATGAAGTTGGCAACGCAAGAGGATGAAAGCACAAACAGAGTTTCCTCATCAGTACTCGTGCTCTCTACCCTGACAATCTGGAACAGACTGCACAAAGCCTTTTCAGTCCGATAGAGAGGCCTGCCATGACTGCCCTTCTCCATCGGGGCCTGATTGCACTGGTGCTGGCAATGTGTACATTTGAACCTGGAGATGTGGAGGAACCTTATGCTCAGCAATGAGTCCAGATTCTGGCTATGGCAGTTGGACTGTAGAGTTAAGTAGAAGACGTGGAGACTGCTATGCTGATTGCTGCACTGATAGTGTAACAGCTTTTGCAACATAAAAACAAAGCCACACCTCTTGGCATGTAACACCCCCACCCATTAAGAACCAAACTTGGGGTTTGGTGACATATGTAAATAGCACCGCAGAGTGTGTTTCAAAGTTTTCCGAACCTTTTTTGTGACGAGAACATAGTTCTGAATAATCAGTGACCAACGCATAGGACGCTGGTTGTGATTATATATCCTAGAGAGGAAAACCAAAGGGTGGTGATCTGTGAACTCTGACTTGACTCTATATAAACTTCAAAATGTTGCAACGCCCACAACAAAGCAAGTGTCTCCTTTTAAATGGTAGAATACCTGAGCTGATGTTCATCAAACTTGCGAGAGAAGTAACTCGCAGGATGGTCAATGCCCTGGGTATCCTCCTGGAGAAGCACTTCTCCTGCCCCAACTGCGCTGGCATCTATTTCCAGTTTGAATGGGAAAGAGAAGTTAGGAGTAGACAAGACAGGAGTGCAACAAAGTAGGCCTTTAAGGCTTTCAAAAGCTTGTTGGCAACCCTCAGATCAAACAAAAGGCTCTGAGGGACTGATTAAGTCAGTGAGAGGGGCAACAACAGAGGAAAGAGTTTTACAAAATCGCCAGTAATATCCTGTTATCCCAACGAAACAGCGCAGTTCCCTCCTAGTGGTTGGTTGGGGAACTCCTTAATTGCAGAGACTTTGGCATCTGCAGGGCACACATTTTGTAGACCAACCTGCTGGCCAAGGTAGAGGACACTGCCTCTAGCTAAGTTGCACTTGGCAAGGTTCAAAGCGAGGGATGCATTTTCTAGGCTAGTGAAGACTTCTTTCAACGTAGCCGTGGGGGTTTCCCAGTCACTACTATACACAACTATATCATCTAGGTATGCTCTACAATTGGGGATGTTTCCCAAAACTTTGTTGACCAGTCTCTGAAAGGTTGCAGGAGCATTACAAAAGGCATAACTGTGTACTGCAGGAAGTGGTCAGGAGTTACAAAAGCTGGAGGAGTTTACCTTTCGAAAGTCAGTGCAGAATCTTGGAGTTCCATCTGACTTTGTGTCTAAGAGACATGGTGAACTCCAAGAGCTGGAGCTTGGCACTGCAAAGCCATTCTGAAGAATATACTCAACTTCCTGTTTTATGATTTCCCTCTTTGCTGGGCTAACCCAATAAGCGCGCTGTTTGATTGGTGTAGGTTTAGTCAGCAACGCGTTTTATAACAGTGGTTTGAGATGGGACGTCATTGAACAGAGATGGGAATCCCAACATGATTGTTATGATATCATTGCTCTGTTCATCAGGAAGGTGGGACAGGTATTGTGATAGTGTTGACAATATCAGGGAATTGCCTAGTCGAGCACTTTGAGGCTCAGCACCCCGTAACACCAACCCTTCTTCATCTTGAGTAGCGTCCACCTTGGAAACGGAAGCCATTGGGAATGTAGCCACTTGTTCTTGGGCCACCTTTTTGTGAAGGTTCACAAGAGCTGTACAGCTTCATCATGTTGACGTGACACATTCTAGTAGGACGTCTAGGTTTGGGGTCTGAATAATGTCGTTGGTCTTGCTGAGGTTTTTCTCTACAACATAAGGACCAGACAATTTAACAGGAAGAGCTGAGCCAGGATAAGGCAGGAGAAGGAGCACTTTGTCACCTGGCTGGAATAAACGGTCGACTGCCCTCTGCTCAAAGTGTCTCTTCATCTTTGCTTGTGAAGCGGCTAGTGCATTCCTTGTTAGGTTAAAGAGGGCTTATTCCCTGTCATTTAGTGTTCTGACATACTCCAGAAGGCTCTTGGTGTTGTCAACCGGATTAGCCAGCCTCTCTTTAAAAACCTTTAAAGGACCCCTCATCTCACGCCCAAACCCCAGTTCACCAGGACTTTGGTGCCTAGAAAAGCGCTATGTTAATGCAATCCATTATTATTATCATTATTCAAAGTCTAATGAAACCTCTCTGGTGCCCCCTGACTCTCAGGATGGTAAGGACTAGAGGTTATGTGTTCGATGCCTAATGTTTCAAGGGCTTGGTCGAATACTCTCGACTTAAAGTTGGTGCCTTGGTCTGTTTGCACAACCATTGGTGAGATTCTTTTCAACATTTGGTCTGCCAGAGGTTTGACAACAATCTGAGCTGTAATCCTCTGTAGTGGGATTGCCTCAGAAACCTAGGTGAAACGCACATAACCGTCAACAGAAACTGGTTTCCAGTTTTAGATTTAGGTAAAGGCCCCACACAGTCAACAATCACTTTTTGAAATGGCTCCTCTACTACTGGGATAGGACAAAGGGGAGCTGGAGGAATTATTTCAGTTGGCTTGGCAGTTATTTGGCATACATGGCAGTGTTGAACAACATCCGATTTCAGTCCTGGCCGGAAAAAATGTTTCAAATGGAGATATGGAGATGAGACTCTGCAAACAGTGGCCCATATTTCCACAGTCCGGGACCAAATGTTACTCTCCAAGATGACAATATTTGGCTCCGCAGAGCGGGGTTTATTAGACACTACCTTCAGAGTTTGGAAGTGGAGAGGATGGAATGGCCTGCCTCCAGTTCTGCTAATACATAACAGAACCATACTGGCTAACTCACAACAAATGCTGGTTGAATAAAGTGATGCTATCCCATGGCAGTGGGTGACCCAGCTGGTGACCAGTATGAGGAGAAACTGCCAGGCTCTTATGGTTGTCTATGGTTCTTCCACATGCTACCAATATGTCTTGTTTCTTCAGACTTCAGTCATCCAATCCAGGAAACGACACCAAACAAGTCAATAGCAGAAGAAGCTGTCTGGCACTGATGGAGAAGATTTGGCAAGTTTTTCATGGGCGCAACCCACATACTCAACTTTGCTGCTCAACCCACCCACTGCTAAATCCACTTTCCTTGCAAATGTAGCACCAATGAAGGGGAAATAAACAGGCTTTCCAGTGGTGTAAGGTTTATTGCCAACAAGAACTGTTATAACTAAGAAACAAATTGTGAAATCAAGAAACAATGTGAAATCACATTGTTGTCCAGAATGTTTTTTGCTTTACTCTCAGTATTGAACTATAATGTATTAGACTTCCAGTTTATCTCCTATCAATTAGCATACAGACTTCTGCTGTTAAAATTGATGAATAATTTGTTGTACATTTTTGTGGTGTGATTACTGTTCATCACTGTAGTAGCACCAGTTGTTGCTGATGTTGAAGAAATTCTTCTCTGGGCCTGTATCCTCCCATAAAGAATGTTATGGTCCATGTATAAAAATGTTCTCAGTTCCTCCACCAGGCCCAGAGTGGCTTTCTGCTGCAGTGTGACCGTAGTGATCTCCTCTGTCAACTCTGTGGCTTTTTAATACCATCACCTTACTGCGCTCTTGTAGTGTTACCCTGGAAACCTGCCAGCTAGTTTGCCAACTAGTATCCTGCTTACAAAATATTGCAAGGACTAATAATTTAAACTAAGTAGTGTTAAAATGGGGTTGGTATTAGTCCACCAGCTGTAATCCAAAATTAAACCTCAGTAACACAACAAATACTCCAAACCGGATACAGAGAGTAGTGTAAACAAAAACAAACAGGCATCGTCAAACAGTGAACAACACTGTTACACAGCCATGTATGTGCCAATGCTTTGCCATTACTGTAATTTACAGTATTCTTCCACCTGTACTGACGGTAAAATCAAGAAAACTCAAAGTGTGAAAAGTGTGAAATAATTAAGCTGTGCTGTAACAACCAGCTGACACAGCCCTCTTTCTCCAACCTGTGTGATTGTCTGCTAGCTACCCAGTGATCCTGTCTATAGAGAACCACTGCAGTGTTCCCCAGCAAAAGAAGATGGCTCAGTACCTGATTGAGATCCTGGGGGACAAGCTGGATGTCTCCAACATCAAAGCTGATGAATCTGGGCAGCTGCCATCCCCAGAAGCACTCAGGGGCAAGATCCTTGTGAAGGTAAAATCCCAATATGGATGTTTGAAAGTGACAGATTTTCTTCGGTGTGAGGAAGCAGTCCTCCGGCAATTATCTCATCTTACTGCTTTTATTATCCAGAGTCTGAAACTCACAGAGTAACTTCAAAGGTATATGATATAATGGGGTGATCAAAGTAGTGAGACAGAAGCAGAGAGTGACATATGAAGCCAATAGAAAGAAAACAAAAATCACTTTGGACTGTGTGTGTGTGTGTGTGTGTGTGTGTGTGTGTGTGAACACTAGATGGTAGCTGGATTATTATCTGGGTGTTTTTGTTATTGTACAAAAATATCTTAAGTGCAGACTCTGCAGATAACTGGTTGCAGGTGCACTTCTGGGTCATGAGCTACATTCAGATCTCTGAAAGCTCTGAGGGATGAAATGTTGATAGAGATGTGTTTCCCTCATTTATTATCAGATTAAATGTAATTTATGACAGCTGAGATGGATTGCGGCGCCCTTACAACCCTTAATAGAGTAGATACACAGAAACTGCAGTAGCCTTCAGAGCCAGCTTTTTCTTCAGCAGTGGAGTCTTGTGTGATGCATACAGGCCATACTTATTTTTTTCTTTGAGACAAATGTACCTGCTGATTCCAGGTCTTTCTGTAGCTGTCCACAAGTGCTCCTCTGATTATTCACTCCTCTGTCTGAATCTTGCAGGGGGCATGTGGTCGTGGCGGGTTTATAGTGAAATTATGTTTTTTCCTCTTCTTCTGGATTATTGCCCCAACAGTTTTCACTGGAACCTGGAACAGTTTAGAAATTATTATCAGTATGTTTTGCAAAAATAAGGTTGTAAAGATCTTGAGAGAGCTCACTGGTTTTACCCATCATGAGATGTTTCTTGTTAGACACCTGGTTAATGAGCCCCTTTAGAAATAGTTCAATACTTATTTCATATATACACCAAAACAAAACAGTATACAGTATATACTGCATGCTTCGATCTGGAGCATGTATCAGAGGGAGCGGCAGGAACAGGTTGTGACCATGGTGTGATGGTTTGCAGAGCTGATGTCTGTTCGTTTCTCGACTCTTTATTTGTACTGAATGAATTTGGCAGCAGTGATTTTTTTTTTTCTGCTGTCCTCACTGTCCTCTATAGTCTGTCCTTGTCCTGTTTGGTGGCTGATCCAAACCATACAGTGATGGATGAGCAAAGAACTGACTGTGTTACTGCAGAGCACAAATGTTTCAACAGCTTCTAAGACTGGTTGAACTTCCTGAGCTGGCAGAGGAAGTGGATGCTCTGCCAGGCCTTTTCTGATGATTGTGTCTCTATTGGGGGACCACTTCAGATCCTGGGAGACCGTGGATCCCAGACACCTGGAGGTTTCCATAGCAGACACTGTGCTGCTGTGCATGGAGAGGGGTTCCTCCTGAAGGCCACGGTCATTCCTACAGTTCTGAGCGTATTCATCTCGAGGTTACTCTGACTGCACCACAGAGCCACACTCACTGCCGTCCTAGATGAGTCTAAATGCTGTCATGTGATCTGCAAACTGTACTGTGTACAGGGAGAAGAGCAGAGGAGAGAGGACACACCCCTGGGGCGGATTGGTAAACCTGCAGTGAAACTCACTGAGGTCGTCCCACTGTGGTGGGATGGTCATGTCCCGGAGAGCGCTCTACACTGACGCAGCTGAAAACCAATTTTTCTGCTTTTCAGACAAAAACCAAATTTTGGGGCAGTCCTTTTCAGAACACGTACTCCACCTGTCTGAAGTTATTTAGGTTAATTAATTAATTAATTAGGTTATTTTAATGTTACTTTAACTTACTTTGAATTAGGCACGTTTTAGCCACAATATGCAATTAACCTCCAACCCAGTGCTCTACATTAAAACCACCATCGATGTGTATACTACATTGACATGCACATTGTGATCATACTATATGGTGAATATCTCTTCTGTGTTAGAATATAAGAATCTCGTGTGATTTATTTTGTCCACTCTGACAGGGAAAGAAACTTCCTCCCAACATAGACGAGAATGCAGAGGAGGGAGATGTGTCTGACGAGGACAGTGCTGATGAAATGGAGGATGACTGTAAGCTGATCAATGGGGATGTATGTACCTATCTGGTATCTATTTGTTCAGTCTAGCAAAACAATTTGCGTCCTTTTGTCCAGCTGATGAAATGTGAGGTATGCTTGTATTTCTTGTTGCTAATGCTTCATGTCCCTCTCCCATTTTGCACTGGTTCCTTAATGATATCCAGATTCTGATCTGACTATATGTATAATTCATATTATTATGCAGAGTCTTACTCCCACATCTGAAATGTGTTACATCACTAACATGAATTATGTAATGTTATGTGTCGCTGCATCTTTGCTCCTTGTTTGAAATATGGGTTTCTGCATGATGGGTTTTTTCCCCCCGTCTGCTCAGACCTGGTTATCGTTATCAAAGTATTCTTACAAATGACATAATGCCTGTCAACCTCAATGAACACTCATAATATAATCCTGTCGTTACCTCCTAAGACCTGAACTCTTTCATGGCATGCATTTTTAATTTATCTTTGCTTGGAAACAAAGAATTACCAGATTTTTTTTTTTTTTTTACCTGATTTTTGTTTCTAAGAACAATGAGAGCCACATATGAGGATATTTGTTTAAAATTTCGATAGAACAGTAGCAGTATAATGTCCTCGAAAGTGGCTATCAGGCCCTTGTAGAGCAAAATTTAGTATTTTGGTCTAAATAACCCAAAATGTGATGTCCACATATGTGGACGCCAGGTCCTAGGAGGTTAAAGACAGTATATAAGAATGACATTTTACACCACATCTGGAATGGGTTATATCACTGACACAGTTGTGCTCTGTGTTATGTAACATGATGAAACCTGACCTTTGGACGGCCTCTGGAGGAATGCTGCTGTGCTTTCGCTTCTTGTTCTTTCTAATCAGACAAGTAAGGCCATGATTCTCTGCAAACAGTATTTCTTATAACTCAGCAGTATAATGCATCATAAAACAGTGTAATGATTTCACAATCTTTAATCCAAGGCATAATGTGGTCTATATGATTAGAAGTATAAGGTGGCATAAGATAGTATAATAATCTCACAACTCTAGGATGTTGATTTAATCAGTTAAGTAGCAGCCTGGGTTGTTAACAAGTTTCAGCATGTGCTGATGGAATTAACAGCAGGTTAGTTTCATTAGAGGAGCAACAATGAGACCACCCTCTAAACAGGAATGGATGCACAGGTGGAGGCCACTCACATTCGTTCTCTTCGTCTGTTCTGAACGTTTTTCACTACCTTTGCATTTGGCTAGGGTCAGTATCAATACTGGTAACATGAGGCAGTACCTGGACCGTACAGAGGTAGCACAGGTAGTCCGACTCCTCCAAGATAGAACTTCAGCATGTGCCATTCCCAGAAGTTTTCCTTTATCTGCCAGCACAGTCTCAAGACCATGGAGGAGATTCCAGGAGACAGGCAGCTACTCGAGGCACTTGGACAGGGTCCTTAACCCTCAGCAGGAGCAGAATCTGCTCCTTTATGCAAGGAGTCACAGGATCAGCACTCCAAGAGCTACAAACTGACTCCAGCAAGCTGCTGGTGGGAATGTCTCTGACAACACACCGTCCTCTAGTGCGCCCTGTGCTCACTGCTCGGCACTGTGGAAAATGATTGGCATTGTCTTGTGGTGGCAGGTCCACTGCTGGTGTCCTGTGCTTTGTACATGTGACAGATATGAAAGGGTCTGGAGAAGCTGTGGAGAACATTATGCTGCCTGTGACATCATTCAGCATGATCAGTTTGATAGTGGGTCAGTGGTGGTCTGGGGAGGCATATCCAATGGAGGGGCCCACAGACCTGTATAGGCTGGGCAACGACACCCTGCTTGTCACTAAGATGAAATCCTGGGACCTGTTAGACCCTACATTGGTGCAGTGGCCCCGGGTGCATGAACATCCTCGTGTGTTGAGAGTATGCAGACAGTTCCTGGTGGACGAAGGAATTGAATGGGCGTTTAACAGCCAGCATGTTCGGCTGACCTAAATTCAGTAGAACACCAGAACTGTTTTCAAAGTGAGCAGTGTTAATGATACTGATGTGTTACTGTGTTACCAATATTACTGATACCATGATGCTTAAAGGTTGTGACAGGGAAGAAAATGATACATAAAAACAAGAGCGCAAACAGCAACAAAAAGTGACCTTAAAAATATCATCCCAGACCTGTGTACTTTGAGGTCCTCTGGGAAAGTGTCACAAAATAAATTAATGTCCACATTACATATTCTGTAATTCATTACAGATGATATAAATCTATCTCAATAAGACAGTTTTAGAGTTGCTGACTTTTTCACCTGTTGTGTCACAGCTGAAATGAATCTGTTTAACTCCTCCTCCAGATGTCAGCTGACAGAAACCAAATAGAGAACATGGCCAAGAAGAAGCTTGACAACTTGATGAAGGAATCCAAGATCCGAGACAGAGAGGATCCAGACAGCTTTACCATCACAGCCCTCCCTCCTGCTGGGAAGACCATGGATAAAACTGGCAGTAAGGTAAACACAGAGAGCAAATATTTTGTCTCAGTATCCATTTCAACCACCCACAGAGGGCGCCATAGGGGTCGGGTGAAGTTTGTGCTTGGTGGCGGCCAAAGGCAGAGGCCCCGGCAGACTGATGACTAGCTTCCAAGTCTAGCGACTGGGACATGGAACGTCACCTCTCTGGTGGGGAAAGAGACTGAGCCTGAACCAAGCTGTTTGTGAGGTTGAGACGTAACGCCTAGATATTGGCTTGGGTTCTGGAACCAGCATTGTGGAGAGGGGCTGGACTCTGTCCCAGTCTGGGTTTGCCCTCGATGAGAGGCAGCGACTGGGGTGGGATACCAAGATTGGAGTTTTTGCCAGTGTCCAATAAGGTTCGCTCGCTGCGCTTTTGGGTCAGGGAACGGGTACTGACTGTTCTCTGTACTTATGTGCAGAATAACCGGCTTTCTTGGAGTCCCTGGGTGGGGGTGCTCGAGGGTGCTCCACATGAAGACTCTGTTGTCCTACTCAAATATTTTAGCTCTCACATGAGTGGGGCACAATTGGGGGAACGCCCTTCTTGGCAATCCAAACTGTTCATAACGAACACCATGCTTGAACATAAGAGTGTACATAAGTCCTCGTGGCACCAGGACACCTTAGGTCACAGGACCACAGGACCTCCTTAATCCCATTGACATGTCTTCTTTAGAGAAACAGACTCATCCATCACTGGGGGCGAAGTCACTGAGGCAGTTGAACAACTTCATCAGGTGGCCTCCAGTTTTCACTGGTGTGGTTCACAGCTGAGTGTGAAGCGATGGGAAGAGAATCATCACCTCCAAGTCGCAGGCCATGGTCCTAAACCAGAAAAGGGTGGTTTAAGTATCTTGGGGTCTTGTGAGTGAGGGTGAGTGGGACATTGACAGACAGATTGGGGCTGCAGTGGCAGTGATGTAGTCGTTGCACTCGTCTGTTCTGGTGAAAAGAGAGCTGAGTGTAAAAGCAAAGCTCTCGATTTACTGGTCAATCCAAAGGGTGACTGGCCCCTCCCTTAGAGAGAGGGTGAGGAGGTATGCTGTCCGGGAGGGGCTCAGACTAGAGCCGCTCCACAACGAAAGGAGCCAGTTGAGGTGGTTTGGGCATCTGACAAGGATGCGTGCTGGGCACCATCCCACCAGGAGAAGCCCGGGGCAGACCCAGGACACACTGGAAAGATTATATTCAATGCAATTTTATTTATACAGCGCCAAATTACAACAGGAGTCACCTCAAGACTCTTTATACTGTAAGGTAAACCCCTTACAATAATACAGAGAAAACACCAACGATCATGTGACTCATATGCACTAAAAACAAGTTATTTAGTGCATATGGGACAATAATCTGTGTATGAATTGCACTCAAATTTTCAAAATCTATTGAATTTATGGACCCACAGACCAGTGAGTACAACAAAAAAGTGCATACACCAAACAACTAATAATTTCACTGTGTCTCATGTTTTCTGCTGATCTGGAAGTCCAAATGAGACGAGTAGGAAGAGTACAACGTCGAACCGTGTAACACCTTCCAATAGGGTTGAAACTTTGTGGGAAACAAATTCCGAGGCAAGAGAACAATAATTTCATGTTTGTTAAAATAAGAAGGCTAAATCAAAATGATCTCCAAGTATAAAGTCATGATTGACATTAAGTTTGATTACACATAGCTTTTATTTTTCTGCGTTTCCTGTAGTTTGCGTGTGAAGTTGGGCACCACTGTGGGAGAAATCAGTGCTCTCCGACTTCACTGGCATATATGTAATAATTCATGTTTTCTTCCTTTAGAATCTTTGAGATGCACCTAAATTATCTCTCCATATCTATCGTGAGCCACAGTTTTGATGGATTTTTTTCATCTCTTTAAAGTTGAGATTGTGTTCCACATTTAAGTATTTGCCTTCCAGTATGAGGTGGAAATGTAGCTAGTGATACCTTTATTTTCTTTATTTCTTTAAAACATACATTACTCCTCTCTTGTCAGGGTAAACGTAAGGATGCGATGGACACAGCAGATGAGGCTTTTCCAAGCAGCAACAAGCGCTCAGGCCGCTCCTTCATAGAGAGCTTCTCTAAACGCAAGGTAAACTCTCCTGTTGTCTCATTCAGTTTTCTGCTTCTGTGAGGACGACAAACACTGACACTGTAGAACTGACCTGTTGACACAGAGTTTGCATTATTATGAGTTATTGCTTGGTTCAGGTGAAGACAGCATATTTAAGCATATTTAAATATAAGCACACTAATTAAGAGAGTTGCTTTTTGTTAGTTAAAGTAGGATTCAATTAATCTATTAATGTCATCTTTATGTATTTGATATTGACTAGACTGCCACTCTTACAAAAGATGGTTAACCTGCATTCATTTATTTGCATCCTTTGTTGTGATGACTAAAAGACTTCTTTAAAATTAAGTTTGTCTGTTATTATACATTTAATCAAAAGCGTCCATGATGGTTTAAAATGTCATTTTCTTGTCTTTTCAAAATGAAAGAAAAACTTTGAACAGTCTCGTGTGCTTCCTCACTCCTCACAGAAAAAGGCATCCAAGCTGAAGAAGGTCTCAAGCTTTGAAGACACAGACACAGACCAAGAAAGCACAAGTAGTGCTTCACGTGCCCCGCTGCATCACAACAAGTATGACACACCAACGCACCAGTGTTTCATTCAGACACACAAGTCTCCATGCAGAAAGGTTAACAAAGAAGTGCTGTCAGTAAAAAGTTCAGACGGAACTTTTGAGTCTGTTATATATTCAGATCATATTTATTTTGTAACTGTGGGTATTGTGGAAAAATCTGATTATCAGACAAATCTGAAACTTACCAAATGTGGCAGCTTTCAAAGGGTCTGAACATTTTCAGAATGCTTCACTGTGCTGATCACATACAGGCATACCCACTGCAACGCAGCAGTGCCGCCAGTCTCTAGTCTCATCAGGTTATTTTGACGAATGCTAAATCACCAGAAATATAAGCTTCATGTGAAACCATTGTGAGACTTTGCCTCACCCTGTCATGTGACCTATTGAGATCACCTGACGCAAGGTGTGAGTGGGCGTTAAGGCGTCTGGGAAGGATTTCAAAACTGGATTATAGATGGCAGACAGTTGGTGTCATAAGCTGTTCAAGGATGGTCATCCACAGTGGACATAGATGCTTCTTTCACTCCTCTTTCAGTCTTCTCTGTCCAAAATGTGAACATTGGATTCCTTTGACCTTTAGATGCAGATGGACAGCTGAGTTTTGTCCTGTTGAGGTGGCTCTTCTGTGTTGTGCTATGTGTTTATAGAGTAGCTGTTTGGTTTCTCCAGTGTAGAGGTCTGAGCACTCCTCGCTGCACAGCACACACTGTGTTGTTTACTTTGTGTTTGGGAGTTTTGTCTTTGGGATGAACCAGTTTGTGTCTGAGTGTGTGGCTGTTTGTCATTGTTCTGTGTGTCGTACTGTTTCTCCCTAGTTGCTTCTTTCCCACCACTGTACTAATTTGATGAAAACCCAATTAAGCCCAATGTTTTAAGAGCTTTCTTTACATGTGTGTGTTCCTTTTATTTCCCTTCTAGCTCTTTCTGACTGAGGGAACAGTTTTTCCTCTATGTTCAGGGTTCTGATGATTTTGTGTTCCAGAGGTTGGTGGGAGTCAAAGAGTTAGGTACTGGTCTCTGCGTGTTTGCTTCCAGTTAAAAAAAATAATTGAATCGTCTGATTATGTAGACGAGAGGTTATTTTGTTGAGAAGATCAAACACTTTATAAGGAAAAGTCCTGAAAATCTGTAATGCTGTACCACCATTTTCCTGCTCCTGCATATGAGCTGAAATCAGCTGATTGTAGTGTAAGTGTGCAGAAGCAAAAGCCACTCA